AAAAAAAAAAATTTACAGGCAACGTATAGCCATGTGCTGTATAACATCATTTTGGTCAATGACAGACCACATATATACGATGGTGGTCCCCTAAGATTATAATTGAGCTGAAAAATTCCAATCACCTAGCGTTAATGCATTACTCGCGTGTTTCTGGTGATGCTGGTGTAAACAAGTCTACTGCACTGCCAGTCATATAATACAGTACATACAATTATTTACAGAACATAAGCCTGTATAATGATAATAAATGACTATGCTACTGGTTTAGGTGTTTATTATACTATACTTTTAATTACTTTAGAATGTACTTTTGCTTGTTAAAAACAAAGGTAACTATATCCTTTGACTTCAAATGGTGGTTTCAAAAAAAAGAGTTAACTGTAAAATAGCTTCAGGCAGGTCCGTCAGGAGGTATCCCAGAAGAAAGCATTGTTATCATAGGAAATGACAATTCTTTGCATGTTACTGACCCCGAAAACTTTCTAGTGGGACAAGATGTGGAGGTGGAAGACAGTAATATTGATAATCCTGACCCTGTGTAGGTATAGGCTAATGCGTGCATGTCTTAGTTTTTAACAAAAAAGTGCCAGGAGCAGTGGCTCATGCCTGTAATCCCAGCACTTCGGGAGAGCGAGAAGGATGGATCCTTGAGCCCAGGAGTTTGAGACCAGCCTAGGCAACCTGGGGAAACCTGCTCTCTATCAAAAAAGATACAAAAGTTAGCCAGGTGTGGTGGTAGGTGCCTGTAGTCCCAGCTACTGCTGAGGCTGAGGTGGGAGGATCCCTTGAGCCAAGGAGATGGAGGTTGCAGTGAGCCAATATTGTGGCATATATTCTAGCCTGAACAACAGAGCAAGATCCTGTCTCCAAAAAAACAAAAAAAGTTGAAAAAAATTAAAATCAGAAAAAAGTTATAGAATAAGGATATAAAGAAAATATTTTTGTACAGTTGTACAATGTGTTTATGTTTTAAGCTGTTTTTACAAAAGAGTAAAGTATGCTAAGGTTAAGCTTCTACCTCCTAAGGTCAGGTGATCTCTTCCACCTCAGCCTTCTGGGTAGCTGGGATTACATGCACGCAGCACCATGCCTGGCTAATTTTTTGTATTTTTTGTAGAGATGGGATTTTGCCATGTTGTCCAGGCTGGTCTTGAACTTCTGGGCTCAAGTAATCTGCCCACTTCGGCCTCCCAATATGCGGGGATTAAAGATTTTGCAATTGAGAAACTGTATGATGGTTTTAGTAGAAGAATGAGAGGGCAGTGTTGGTAGTGATAAGGTTAGGAGCTAGATGACTAAATAGGGAGCCAAGTAAAAATGTAAGTACTTCCTCTTTCCCTCCTTATTGTAACACAAAAGGACAGTAATATAGTAACACAAGAACCAAAACATAACTTCATGAATAACAAATTTAAAATACTGCAGATGATAAGCAATAGCAGCACTCAATCATATTCAATTATATTCAAGCATAAGGTGAAAAACCTCTTCCCACGCTAGGAAATTCAGCTAGCTTTCTCACCCCTCCAAGCTGCAGCTGCGGCTAGAGATATGACATTTCCAATTATACCTACTCTGCATCTGACAAAGTACATAGCAAACGAGTCAAAGGGATCCCAATCCAGAAGCTATTCTATTGGCCATGAGAGGGGAAAGGACTTTTCACAAGACATTTCCACATTTCTCACCTTTCACTTTCCACTCTGTCTACCCCACTATTCTGAGTGAGATCCTTTAGAACAGTGGTCTCCAAATCTTTTTGGCACCAGGGTCTGGTTTCCTGGAGGATAATTTTTCCAGACAGCAGTGGTGGGGGGATGTTTCAGGATGAAACTGTTCCACCTCAGATCATCAGACATTAGATTCTCATAAGGAGCATACAACCGAGATCCCTCCCATGCACAGTTCACAATAGGGTTTGTGCTCCTATGAGAATCTAATGCCACTGCTGATCTGACAGGAGGCAGAGCTCACGCAGTAATGCTTGCTCCCCCATGGCTCACCTCCTGCTCTGCGGCCTGGTTCCTATTGGGTTACGAAGCCATACTGGTCTGTAGCCAGGGAGTGGGGGATCCCTGCTTTAGGACATTCTTTTTTTTTTGAGATGGAGTCTCGCTCTGTTGCCTAGGCTGCAGTGCAGTGGCGTGATCTTGGCTCACTGCAACCTTTGCCTCCTGAGTTCAAGTGATTTCTGGCTAATTTTTGTATATTTTTAAATAAAGGCGGGATTTCGTTATGTTGGCTAGGTGGTGTCCAATTCCTAACTTCAAATGATCCACCCCTTGGCCTCCCAAAGTGCTAGCGTTATAGGCGTGAGCCACAGTGCTGGCCAAGAACATTCTTCATTTCACTCCTTACCTCTCACTCTCATGGCAAGGCATTTTTTCTTACACTTATTCACTAAGTAAAATCCTTCACAGACGGGGAAATGTTAAAAGAATGCTCATACACAGCTGCATGATACAACTCCTATCAAGTGGTTGCTAAGCATTTCCTCCTTAAACCAGTCCACTTGCAGAAAAAGACTAATCTATATAGATCTAGGGAAATATGAAATGGGAGTAGTTTACTTTATCCACCACGCATTTAATCTGATAACTGATATACTACTTCTGAGACGTTTATTTATGAGAGTACTTGCAAAATTGTGCAAAAAATGAGTGCTTTTAGAGATTTTATTCTTCTTATTGGCTGATTTTATTTACCACTTCAGACCTTTTATTATAGCTTCTAAGCTGTTAACAGGGATCACGAATAAATGATTAAAAAGCCATACATGCTAAAAATTTTCTGAAACTTGGAATTCTAACTAGTAGACTATCTATGACAAATCATGAATAAATTTATTAATGGTATTCACCAAAGAACCAGTCCAGAAACTCAACAGGTTTCTTCTATTTGTTGAATTCTCTCTGATGCTATAAAAGTGCCAGACACATTTGCACAGATAAATATTTGACATAAAACACAGTGGAACAAAAACAATATTCAAAATGAAGAAATACAAACACACATTCAAAATACGCATTTTTATTTACCTTAGTGGTCCACAAAGAGTGAGGCCAAAAAACCACAAGAGTGAAATAATACACCCAGCAACTGCATGTTTAAATATTTTGATCCACTATAAATGGAAACAAAAAAATCAAAAATTTCAGTCACATGTATTTTGCTGTATATTCCAATTTTAAATAAAATACAGAAAGATAATAACAAATATTTTAAAGGTGAAATAATTACGTATTTTGAAATTAAGTAGAACACATAAGATCCCTTGACTAAGTCTAGATTTCCAAGGCAGTATTCTGGGCTGGGTGCGGTGGCTCACGCCTGTATCCTAGCACTTTGTGAGGCTGAGGCAGGTGGATCACCTGAGGTCAGGAGTTCAAGACCAGGCTGGCCAATATGGTGAAACCCCATCTGTACTAAAAATACAAAAATGAGCTGGGTGTGGTGGCAGATGCCTGTAATCCCAGCTACTCAGGAGGCTGAGGCAGGAGAATCGCTTGAACCTGGGAGGTGGAGGTTGCAGTGAGCCAAGATTGCACCACCGCACTGCAGCCTGGGCGATCGAGCAGACTCTTTCTCAAAAAAAAAAAAAAAAAAAAAAAGACAGTATTCTGTTTTCCATTATCTATATTCTTGTCTGCTAGTAGATTTTGAAATCTTTTTCTTCAGAGTACAATTTTATGATTTCTCAGTTTCTCACTAGTTTCCTAGGATCATTTAACTTTTTGTCTTTAAATTCTTTTCTACCAGGAATTTTTAGTGATCCAATTATCTGAAAGGAGAGAAAAAAGTTAAGATGGGGCTTAGACTGTTAATCCTATTTTAAAAAATGTTCTTGGTCTCTGAAACAGAAGTACTTAAATTTGTCTTTCTAATAAAAAAATTATGACACAGGTTTGTAAGTCATGGTATAAAGCAAACATGTAGTATGGTATAACTGCTGCCCAAAGAAGTGATGATGTGAGATGATTATGCAAAATGTAGGACAGTTCTAGTTTGAACCACAGCTGCCTAAAGAGAATAGTGACAATGATCATGAGGGTGTCACACTGTCACAATGATGAGGCATCATTCCAAAAACTTCATAAGTATTAATTCATTTTTTCCTCACAGTTCCATTAGGAAGTTACTATTATCTCCATTTTACAGGTGAGCAAATTAAGGTAGAGAGAAATCAAGTAACTTACCCAAAGTAAAGGTCAGTAAGGAGGACAGACAGAACATGCCTTTGACTCCAGAAACCTCACTCTTAACCCCTATGCTTTGTCAGCTTTCCAGTGACATTTGTACTAGGCTCTTGGGCATGCTTTCATGTCCAATTTGTAAATCTTTCAGAATAAGAAGTGTGTACTGAAGAAAACAATTACATGAATGCTTTATAATTTTTTTAGCCTCTTAAAACATTTCATGATCTGAGTACTTTATGGTTTAAAGTCTCCATTCAGAAAAGACAAGAGCAAGTTAACTCTAAAATTGTTCTGCGGCATATCTTAAATTATTAAGTACCCATTATCAAAACATAAGCACTGCATCCTGGCCCACTAAACGAGAAGCTGCTAGGAATAAAAGATTCTGCAAAGATCTTACCTGGTGTTTGGTAATAGTTTTCCCAGAAGAAAATGGCTTTTGAAACAAAACCATAAAAAATGCAGTCCTGTAAATATTGAAACATTAATATATTAATATTAATCAATATTAGACACAAGATACAGTTTTAAGTAAAGACACTTATTTTAAACAAATATGCCAGAACTTGAAGTGTTATCCTCTGAATAAATCATACTGGAGAATTATACTCATTTTAGTAAAACTCCTTTTCAACACTTAGAGAACTTTTTTTTTTTTTTTTTGAGATAGAGTCTTGCTTTGTTGCCAGGCTGGAGTGCAGTGGCGTGATCTTGGCTCACTGCAACCTCCACCTCCTGGGTTCAAGGAATTCTCCTGCCTCAGCCTCCTAAGTAGCAGGGATTGCAGGCACGCGCCACCATGCCCGGCCAATTTTTTGTATTTTTAGTAGAGACGGGGTTTCAACACGTTGGCCAGGCTGGTCTCGAACTCCTGACCTCGGTTGATCTGCCTTCCTTGGCCTCCCAAACTGTTGGGAAAACAGGCATGAGCAACACGCCTGGCCGAGAACTCTTATTTTCTGTCTTCAGAACCAGCTAACAAGCCACAAAAGTAAAGGAGTCACAATTTTTTTTATATCTTAAAATACCAAAGAAAATAATTCCTATTTTCTCTAAAATTCAGTAATAAATCTTGAAATAGTATAATGAAAATGAAGAAATTACTAATTATATGTCCCTACCTTTCACACTGCCAAAACAGTTGTATAAAAATGCACACAACTTGGTCAGGCATGGTGGCTCAAACCTGTAACCCCAGCACTTTGGGCGGCTGAGGTGGGCAGATCACCTGAGGTCAGGAGTTGGAGACCAGCCTGGCCAACATGGGAAAACCCCGTGTCTACTAAAAAAAAATACAAAAATTAGCCAGCCACGGTGGGACACACCTGTAATCCTAGCTACTCAGGAGGCTGAGGCAGAACTGCTTGAACCCAGGAGGCAGAGGCTGCAGTGAGTTGAGATTGAGCCACTGCACTCCATCCTGGGCAACCGAGCCAGACTGTCTCAAAATAAATAAATAAATAAAAAATAAAAAAAGCACATAACCGGTGGCTTAATATTTCTTAATCAATAATCTATTTCCCAAATTACCAAAATTATACTCCCAAGAGTGTTTTTTTTAAATGGAGTCTCACTCTATTGCCCAGGCTGGAGTGCAATGGCACAATCTCAGCTCACTGCAACCTCCACCTCCCAGGTTCAAGCGATCCTCCTGTCTCAGACCCCCTAGTAGCTGGGACTACAGGCATGTGCCACCATGCTTGGCTAATTTTTGTATTTTTAGTAGAGATGGGGTTTTGCCACGTTGGCCAGGCTGGTTTCCAACTCCTGACCTCAGGTGATCCACCCCCGTCGGCCTCCCAAAGTGCTGGGATTACAGGTGTGAGCCACCGTGCCCAGGTGACTCCCAAGAGTCTTTAATAGGTTTTTATTAACAGAGAGGGTGGTCACTATCAATCTCAAGATCCAAGAAATCTTATTCAGAACTTCTTATATGTAGGCTGGGCGTGGTGGCTCATGCCTGTAATCCCAGCACTTTGGGAGGCTGAGGCGGGCGGATAACAAGGTCAAGAGATTGAGACCATCCTGGCCAACATGGTGAAACCCTGTCTCTGTTAAAAATACAAAAATTAGTTGGGCATGGTGGTGAGCACCTGTAGTTCCAGCGACTCGGGAGGCTGAGGCAGGAGAACTGCTTGAACCCGGGAGGCAGTGATCTTGCAGTGAGCCAAGATCACGCCACTGCACTCCAGCCTGGTGAAAGAGTGAGACTGTGTCTCAAAAAAGAAAAAAAAAAAAAGCATTTCTTATAAGTAGGATAATTTAATGTTCATACTGTATGAGGACTGTACTAAGAAAGGATTATGTAGTGAACACAGCCCAACCATGGTTTAACTTAGAAAATAAGGAATATTTGTTCCAAGACAGGCCTCAGATAACACCCTGTGCCTGTTTGAAGATTAGATTGTGTCAGTCAAATAGTGTAGGAATCCCTAGTGTCCCTGAGACCCTTTCAGGAAGTCAGCAAGGTTAAAATGATTTTCAAAAAAATACCAAGACATTATCTGCCCCTTTCACTCTTATTCTCCCAGGAGTGTAGAGCGAAATTGCTAATACTGCAACAGGTTCAATACTGAGGCACTTATGAGAATCTGGCTATCCTCTATTAAGCCAGATATTAAAATCAGTTTGCAAAAATCTCATCAAACTCTGTGTTTAGGCAAGTGATCAGAGCACAACAATCCCTTTTCTTTTCAGTCTCTTTGTACCTCTAATCTTGAGTATACTCCCAGCTAAAAAAATTTATCAAATACTTGTCAGGAGGAACAAACAAAATATTGCATGTAAAGTTTCTTAAAGATACTCTGTTAAAACAGGATTTTCAAAGAAATAAAAAAATCAAGAAAAAAAAATCCACACACTCACCCAAGTTTTAATATAAAAATGAATTGAACAATGTGAACAGCTTTTAGGAGATCATATGATTCGAAAAGTCCGACAGCCTTCAAAAATTTAGTGAAACATAATAACACAATGTATTTTGTTAATCTGAAAAATAAAAGCAGAAACAATTTTTAGTATCATTGAAATTACAAGGAACTCATCAATCTGGTTTTTTAAACAAGAGGTCATTATAGAAACCATAGAAATATACATAAACAAAAAATGAAACAAAACAAAGTCCCCAAACAACTCACCATCCACATGATAATTAATGTTGACTTTTTTTTTTAAATCATAGAGACGGGGTCTCAATGTGTTGCCCAGGCTGGTCTCGAACTTCTTGGGTCAAGCAATCCTCCAGCTTTGGTCTCCCAAAGTGCTGGGATTACAGGTGTGAGCCACCGCGCCCAACCTGCTGTTAACATTTTGAGGCCAGGTGCAGTAGCTTGAGACCAGCCTGGGCAACATGGCAAAAGCCTATCTCTACAAAAAATACCAAGAATTAGCCAGGCATTATGGCGCGTGGCAGCAGTCTCAGCTCCTCGGGAGGATCACCTGAGCCTGGAAGGCTGAGGTTGCAGTGAACTGTGATCGTGTCACTGCACTCCAGCCTGGGCAACAGAGTGAGACCCTGTCTCAAAGTACAAACAAACAGGCTGGGTGCTCATGCCTGTAATCCCAGCACTTTGGGAGGCTTAAGTGAGTGGATCACGTGAAGTCTGGAACTCAAGACCAGCCTGACCAACATGGTGAAAACTCACCTCTACTAAAATACAAAAATTAGCTGGGCGTGGTGGCAGGTGCCTGTAATCCCAGCCATTTGGGAGGCTGAGGCAAGAGAATCGCTTGAACCCGGGAGGCAGAGGTTGCAGTGAGTCAAAACTGCACCACTGCACTTCAGCCTAGATAACAGAGTGAGACTGTCTCAAAACAAAAACCAACCAAACACAACATTTTGGGTTTCTTTTCAATGTATATGAATGATTATGTACAGCTACAGTCTACTTTAACAAAAAATGCCCAACGAAAAATGAAAATTTTCTTGATCAAGTTGCTGGACTATTTTGTTATCTGCTTTCTAACTTAATAACTCCTCCAAACAAATAAGGAGAACGAAATAAAAACTAAATTCTGTTATGAAATGAAAAGACCACAATAAAGGAAGAAACAGAAGAATGGTAAATGCCTTTGGTTCGTGCCTCCTCTGCCTTGTTAAGTGACTACAGTGAGAGTTGTGGTTGAACGGTCAATTGACTGGACCTAGAGTCCTAAAAAGGCTCAGGAATTGGAAACACCTCAGGAGGGGAATGAGAAGCTGAAAAGAAGAGGATCTCTAGGAAGTCTTCCAAGTAATCAGATTCCCAGGTTCCTGCCCAGCCGGCAGGCAACTCTCTCTCCTCAACCACTATTAGGAGTCACGAGTCATAGCCTCTGGCAAGGTCACTTAAATTTCCTGAAGTAGACAACTCTGCTGGCTTTATAAGAGAATGTCCATGTTTTTAAGAAAAACAAGTATTTAAGGATAAAGAAGCATGAAGTATGTAACTTACTTTCAAATAGTCCAGGTGAAAAAAATACCTGTGTGTGTGCATTTAGAGGGAGAGAGAGAGAGAGAATAAATCACACGGGACGATATATTAACAATTACAGAGTCCAGGCAAAGAACATACTACTCTTGTGACTTTTACATAAACTGGAAATTATTTTTAAATGAGTAGTTTAAAAGTGTTACTTATTCAAGGGTGTATTGTCTCAGGTAGGGAAATGTGGTAAACAATCCTTTGCTATTTTATTTGTACTATTTACTTACCAGAGTTACCCTTCTATTATAGTTTACTGCAGAATCAATCAAATTCAACTCACGACTGGTTGAATTTTGATGGATTCCAGGTTGCAAGAGTTTTACTTTATATAGACCAAAAATCAAATACTAGTTATAATCTGCAACAAAAACTAGTTGACAAGTCCTTTAATTGTGGGTATTTTTATGCCCAAATTTACAAATATGTATTATTTTAAACGAAGGTTTATTTTGCTTTAAGTCCTCTTTGTGGGGAAGGGCACAGGGTCACAGCTAACATTTGTTGGGCACCTGCTATGTTCCAAGTGCTTTGAATACATCATTTCATTTAATTCTTACAACAGTCCTACAAACCAAGAAGTGGTATCCCTGTTTCACAAAACTGAATTGTAGAAAAGTAAGTTGCCCAAGGTTACACAAGTAATAAATGAGCTGGTAGTCTGAGTTGTTTAAAACCCCATATATAGTGCCTTCTACATAGTAGATACTTGAGTATTTATTGAATGAATTGAACTTGAATTACACACTGATTTTTTATTTTTTAGCCAGAGAACTGTTGAGCTACTGCAGTAGGCAAAGCCCAAGAGGCAGGTTTGAACCTAAATCCAAACTTCAGTAATTTCAGGTTTAGAAAACCAGGGAATTATCTTCGATCTCAGCTCACTGCAACTTCTGCCGCTGGGTTCAAGTGATTCTCCTGCCTCAGCCTCCTGAGCAGCTGGGATTACAGGTGCCTGCCACTATGTCAGGCTAATTTTTGTATTTTTTAGTAGAGACAGGTTTTTGCCATGTTGGTTGGCCAGGCTGGTCTCGTACTTCTGACCTCAGGTGATCCACCTGCCTTGGCCTCCCAAAGTGCTAGGATTACAGGCGTGAGCCCACCACGTTTAGAACCAGGGAATTTTCTTTCTTTTCTTTTTTTTTTTTTTTTTTTTTTGAGATGGAGTCTGGCTCTGTAGCCCAGGCTGGAGTGCAGTGGATCTCAGCTCACTGCGAGCTCTGCCTCCCGGGTTTACACCGTTCTCCTGCCTCAGCCTCCCGAGTAGCTGGGACTACAGGCGCCCGCCACCTCGCCCGGCTAGTTTTTTTGCATTTTTTAGTAGAGACGGGGTTTCACCATGTTCGCCAGGATGGTCTCCATCTCCTGACCTAGTGATCCGCCCGTCTCGGCCTCCCAAAGTGCTAGGATTACAGGCTTGAGCCACCGCACCCGGCCAGAACCAGGGAATTTTCTAAACCTTCACAGAAAAGTCCACTGATAACTTTTGACAAGACTAGTTAATGGGAAATGATGGTTTATAAATTGGGGGGTGGGGAGGATGGGCCAGGCATGGTGGCTCATGCCTGGGAAGCCTAGGCAGAAGGATCACTTGAGTCCAGGAGTTCAAGACCAACCTGGGCAATATAGCAAGACCCCGTCTCTCCAAAAAGTTTTTAAAAATTAGCCTCCCTTTCCTCTCCTCTCCCATCTTCACTTCCTGATAAATCAATGCCATTGTTTTTCCCTCATAACATGAACTAGGAATGTCTCCTTATTAATAATTTTGCTTATCAATATAGGTTACTTAGCCTGGTTTTTCATCTTTAGCCCAATAGTTCATTAACTGGAACTTTAAAAATCAAAGAATCCAGGCCAGGTATGGTAGCTCACGCCTGTAATTCCAGCACTTTGGGAGGCTGAGGTGGGAGGATTACTTGAGCCTAGGAGCTCGAGACCAACCTGGGCAAAATAGCAAGACCTCATCTCTACTAAAAATTAAAGAATGAACTGGGCATGATGGTGCACACCTGCAATCTCACATACTGGGAAGGCTGAGATGGAAGGATTGCTTAAGCCCAGGAGTTTGAGATTGCAGTGAGTCATGATTATTTTACTGCACTCCATCCTGGGCAACAGAGGAACTGACCTTGTCAGAAAGAAAGGGAAGAGGAAGAAAGAAAGGAATGAAGGAAGGGAAGGAAAGAAAAAGGGAAGAAAGGAAGGAAAGAAAAAGGGAAGAAAGGGAGGGAAGAAACCACTAAAATCTCTAAGGGTGTTTTTTGTGTTCTATTTTTTTCTAGTACATATACATTTGCTTTATTTTGTTGTTGTTGTTGGTTTTTTGTGGGGTTTTTTTTTTTGGAGTTTTTTTTGGGGGGAAGGTGGGGCAGGGTTTTGCACTGTCACCCAGGCTCCAGTGCAGTAATGGGATCATAGCTCACTGCAGCCTTGACCTCCTAGGCTCAAGTGATCCTTCTGCCTTAGCCTCTCAAGTAGCTGGAACTACATGCACTGCCAATGTGCTTGGCTAATTTTTATATTTTGTAGAGATGGGGGTCTCACTATGTTACTAGGGCTGGTCTCAAACTCTAGGGCTCAACTGATCCTCCTGCTTCAGCCTACATTTACTTTATACCTAGACAACTGCTGGAGATTTGGTAAGTTTTCCAGAAGGGTCCTCCTGGAAGGTTGAAGCCTGGCTTTTGGGATATTGGAGTTAAATGAGAGAATGGGAGGCAGAGTTAAGAGGGGAAACTCCTTTTTAATCTCCACATTTTCCATCCAGGACCTCATCCTTCCTTTACTCTTGCAACCTGAAATAAAGTAAAACTCTTGCAACCTGGAATTCATCAAAATTCAACCAGTTCTGAGTTGAATCTGATTCTGCAATAAACTACAATAGAAGGGCAACTCTGCTAAGTAAATAGTACAAATAAAATAGCAAAGGATTGTTTACCACATTTCCCTACCTGAGACATTACGCTCTTTACACTCTTGAATAAATAACACTTTTAAACTACTCATTTAAAAATAATTTCCAGTTTACATAAAAGTTACAATAGTATATCCTTTACCTGGACTCCGCAATTGTTAATGTATCATCCCATGTGATTTATTATTCTTTCTCCAAATGCACACACACAGGTTTTTCCCCTGGACTATTTGAGAGTAAGTTACATACTTCATGCTTCTTTATGCTTAAATACTTGTTTTTCCCAAGAACATGGACATTCTCTTATAAAACCAGCAGAGCTGTTTACTTCAGGAAATTTAAGTGATATGCTTTTTTTTTTTTTTGAGACGGAGTCTCACTCTGTCACCCAGGCTGGAGTGCAGTGATGCGATCTCGGCTCACCACAACCTCTGCCTCCTGGGTTCAAGCCATTCTGCCTCAGCTTCCTGAGTAGCTGGGATTACAGGCGTGCACCACGTCCAACTAATTTTTTTTTTGCTATTTTTAGTAGAGACGGGGTTTCGCCATGTTGGCCAGGCTGGTCTCGAACCCCCGACCTCAGGTGATCCGCCTGCCTCGGCCTTCCAAGGT